TCGCCTCGGGGTACTTCCCAAGTATTGTCATATTGTCACACTGATAACAAGTATTATTAGTGAGGATCACACACCCATGCTCAGGATAATTTTGAAAATTTTGACTCTGAATGTCAAGTCTTTTGATTAGGTAGTATTATTTGGCTGTCTTACATAGCAAACAGCATGGGATGGTCTTTTCTTTACATTGAAAAATTACTCATCTTGATCTTGAAATTTTTGTGCTTTCATGGAGATGAGGTTGGCACAACACTGAAAAGAAAGAGCTCCACTCTTCTATTTGACCCAATATGGGCAAAAATATAATTTGGTCTTATTGCATGAATTGAAATGCAGTAAACACAGTTCAACCGAGTCTCAAATTATTGAATTGAATTGAATTGAACAGCAAGCTGTATTCACTGCTCTTCAGCATTCAAAAAGTTCATGCAACATTCCCACATCATCCAACCTACCTGCAATAATCCAAACACATTCCATTATACAAAGATTGAAAAATGAGAAATAAGCCGTGTATTCATATTAAAAGAAAAGAAAATACATCCAAAAATGTACAATTTCACAAACTGATGTGAATGCTTCTTCCCTTCCCTGATAACAAAAACAAAATATCAGTTACAAGAATTGCAGCATTTAGCAATTACTAAACCCAAATTAAAGCACAAGGTGTTCAGCGTGCTCCTGGATAAGGTTTGGTTGATTAAACAATTTAGAGAAAATCTTTGATGAGAAATCACATACAGTTGACAGTCTCAAATTATTCCCTGTGGCTCTCCTATAAAGCAGACCTGATTGCTAGACAATCCTGCAAACAAGCCTATTTTATATCTCTCCTACAAAAAAGACCTATAATTGCTGGAGAATTCTGCAAGCAAGCCTATTTTACCTATAGTATGGAAGCCCTCAACTGAATTTTTCCTTGGCACAATACCCTGGATTTAGTGCCACCACAAGATGTGCCAGAAAAAATTATGGCACTCAATGAGGGTTTGAGTCCTGTATGCAGTATGTATTGTTCTACAATGTCAGGAGGTGGGGGTTTGTACTTGAATGAAAAAATAATAATTTTGTGCAATGATACTATGTACCTTCAATTCCAGTTTACCAACTAATTTTTATTTTCACAGTAATGTTGACAACATTTTTGTTTGTCATAACTGGAAGATTGAAAAAGTACTTTTTAACAGCTAGGTTTTTGTTTAACCAAAGGTCCAATGTACAACAAAGTTTGGGGGAACGTAAGAAACGTTCTGGAAAAAAAATGGTCTAATCATGATTACTGAGAAAATATAGACTTTCTTCCATAAACAATAAGATAGAGTATTGATTTCTGCGAAACCAAGTTTTTTTTATGGCCCTATGAGAACATTATTGAGCAAATTACAATGAAAAATGTAGCAAAAGCTAACAAAAATTGTATGGGAAAAAAATGTAGCAGATTTTTTTTCGCGGTAAAAATTTTTGAGGGATTTTTTTACACTGCTATAAACAGTAACTATTGTTGATCAGCCTCTAAAACATGAAAATAATTCTTTTTCTGAATTGAAGTCGCGTAAATATGTTGTGTTATTCAGCAGAAAGATGCTGAAAAGTAAGAGATTATTAAAAAAACAGGTCCCAATCAATAATTCAACAATCAATAATTTGCTAATGCATTGATTAGCAAAATCTGTGAGAAAAATTCTTTTATCTTTGAAGAAAAATGATAAATTAACCTCTATTTTTCCAATTTTTCCTTCAAAATTTTTTTTTTTACTTTGTCGTGTAAAGGTTTCCCGTTGGCATTGTAGAACTTTTTTTTATGCGACACTGTAATTATCTCTCAAAATTCTTTGCTAAATAATCAGCCCTGCCTGGGGTCGAAAGAAAATTTTTGAATTAAATGTTACGCGAATGTTTACTGGTGTTTCGCAAGCATTGAATAGAGATGATTTTGGCGCATAAATCCCTCTGGCGAATGTTTCTCAACTTTATGCAAGTGTCTATTTCGTAAATACGTGCTTAAATAGATGTATAATGTACAGGGTAGGGACCAGAAAAAATGTGAAAAAATTTTCAAGTAAAGAAAATTAGGAAAAAAAACGGAAGCCAAAGAAAGTAAGTACTGTACAGTTTCAGTTATGTAATTGGTATTTCAATTATACACATTTTGGATTATCTGAGATACAACATTTACAAATTAGTCAGACACTTTCAATTTAGATTGAATATTTCAAAGTCCCTGAGAACTTGTGACTTGACTTCAAGCTCACATAAAATTCCTGCTTATGCCTCCAAAATGTTTATTTGAAAACTGCACATTTAAAATTGTTATTGAGCGTTTCCCTGTAATGTTTTTTATGCGTCCCATCGATTAATATCATTCTAGAAAATCCTGAAAAAACCAATGAATAGCCTCTCCTCCCTGCCCAAAGTTGGGCACTGCCACATTTTTATTTTTATTTTTTTTAATTCATTTGATTTTTCAATAAAAGGAATTCTGGAAGTGTTTTTTGTACAAATAAAAACTGCTGCATGTATGAGGATTCAAAAATTGGAATAATCAGAATCAGTCTCTTATAAATTGTTGCTATATGTGAAGGTCTGAGTTTGAAGTGAAAACTTCAAACTTTCATCAGGATTGCTAAATATTTGGCAGCTGTAAGATTTAATTAATTTTCTGTTCATCCTCTGCTGATCCAAGAAAATGTGCAGCCTTCTTGAGTTGTACTTGGGATTTGGAGACAAAATTGTGAGAATTGGCAATTTTTAATTTTCTTAAAATTTACTGCACTTAATTCCATTGGCCATGATAACATGCTGTCTTATTCAAAATTTTGTTGATGTAAGCTTGTAAAGTAAATTCTTTTGACCTTAATTTTAGCTTTCAACAGTTCTAAAGATGAATGGATAAGATAAAATCAACAAAATAAATTATTTTATGCATTTTGAAATAAAGTGAAGGGATAATTGAACAAATGAACCCCTGCCTACAAGTTAAGCAAGCGTTAAACTCATTAAGAAGCAAGTTTAGGCCCAGAATACCCTCATCTACAATTTCCCATTTTCCTTGTAGAAAAAAATATTTGTTTCCTTTACCCCAAATCTCAAAAAAAGTAAACCTCCCTGAGTCGAATTTTTTTTCTGGTCCCTAGAAATTCGACTTAGAGATGTTCAACTGTATCAATAAAAAAAAAGTTTCACATATAATTTGGAATGATAATCCTCATTTATTCCCCAACAACAACAAAACTCAGACCAACTTCACACAAACAAAAAAGCGCGTATATTCAAAATCTCCCTCCCCATTACAAGTGTGCCATGATTAATTCAGTGCTGTACCCTCTAAAAGAAAAAACAAAATCACCATTTTTGGACTTGATGTACACTGAAAAAAAAATACACAAGAAAAATTGCTGCATCAACGTCCACTGCTGGAACTCGAAGATGGTCCAGAACTGCTCCCACTTCCGGACGAAGAATGTCCTATATATACAAAATTGGATATTAATTAATTAAATAATTAGTGAACAATTTGGGGGGCTGAATTAATTTGATTGATGATGATGAGCATCAGTTGAATTGATTTGGTGGCTTTAAATTCACTGTACTGTACCTCCGTGTTTCTTTTTGTGTCCAGCCTTTTTCGACTTGCCGTGCTTGCTGTGCTTGCCGTACTTGCCGTGCTTGCCGAACTTGGAGCTCTTGCCTCCCTTTTTGTGCTTGTGGGATCCCTTCTTGAAGCTGCTTTTCTTGCCATGCTTGGATCCTTTCTTTCCCTTCTGTAAATTCAGTATAGTGGCAAAAATATTTAAATTTTGAGAAATTGTTTCGGATTGATTTTCATTTTGTATATACAGTTGAACCTCTCCAAGTCGAATTTCAAGGGACCAGGAAAAAAAATTCGTCTTACGGAGGTTTTGGGGACAACACTGAAGAAAAACAAATTCACCATGAATTTTTGGAAAAGAATTTAGTATAAAACTGGAAAAGGGCTTATATTGATCCCCTACATGTATTTAAGCATATATATTGAAGTATGATTAAATATATGTAGGGAATACAACTTTCACAAAAAATATATACTGTATAACTCTCCCCAATAAATAATTTTTAATAGCATCTAAATTATTTAATAAAAAAAAACTTGTCCTTTTGTACTAAATTTTTTTATAGAATCTAAAATGATTACTTTTTAACAACAAAAAATTGAGAATAATTATTATGTATGATGAGGAACGAGTATATTTTACGGTACCTTGTATTTCTTGTCTTGGTACTTTTTGCCCTTCTTTCCAGAGGAGTGCTTTTTGGCAGCCTTTTTCTTGTCATGGAATTTCTTGTGCTTCTTGGTGTCATAGTACTTCTTCACGTGGCCTTCTTCTATTTTCTTGTACACCTTCTTGAAGCCCTGTGATTATTCATGGACATGAAGTGTGAGCATGTGATCACAAAGATTCTGTTAGTGCAGTATTGTAATGTGCTGAATGTCTGTGAGTGGGATTGGAAGGGACTCCAAAAACAATTCGATTTGGAGAGTTTTTTTAGTTAGGGAATTTGGTTTCATTTTTTTTGTAGGTTAATCAATGGAAAATATGTTTTGGCCTAATTGATAGAACTGATTTGTACTGTTTATTACTTGTGGATGTCCCACCTGATGAACATAGAGGCATAATTCTTTTTTTATAGAGAGCATTAAAAGAATTTGCTAATGTTTTTTTTTAAACAAGCATTATAAAAAGTAGCTGTGATTTATTGGCTGAAAGGCCTCCACATTTTGACTGAGTAAGGTACAGGTTGTACCTAGCTATTTGACCCTATCCATTGCCAAACTAGGGTCAAATTGGAAAGCGGTCAAATTTTAAAGCAGTCAGATTGCATAGTAGTCAAATTGTGAGACATTTTGTGAAATTCAAAAATATCAGTACAGAAATGCAAAAAATTGGCCAAAGCAGGTCAATGGTCAAATTGCAAGTCAACCTCCCTGCAAATTTTACCATTAAATTGCAGGATGTCCAAATTGTGGGAGATCAAATTGCAAGGTACCACCTGTATTGCTCAAAAAGTTTTGAGTTGGTTAGTTTCCAAGTGGATTGGACCAAAATTATGATGCATTAGTGTAGAATCTTCTTGCAAAAAAAAACTCTGGGGGCCTAGAAAAACATGCTTATCTTGTACTCAAAAATATTTATGAAGTTCAACCTCTCTGAGTCAAAAATATCTGTAATCAAAATTTTTGGCAAACCCTTGGGCAATCTCCAAAAGCAATAAATTCATTTAAAACCTCTCTACCTCAAATCTTTTTTTGGCTTTAACCTACCATAGCCAAATTTGACATAGTCTTTGTTCTAATATTATTGGGACTAAAAATTAGAACACCTACTCCAGATGGAAATTACTATTTATTAGTGATGAAAACACAAATCAGGCCATATCCTAAAATGCAATTTTTTCCTCCTGTATATATTACCTTTAAATTCAACTTAGAGAGGCAAAACTTTATTATTCATAATCAAATACAATTTGGCTATACTAGAATAAACTAGAGATCCATGAAAAAGGAATCAAAAGAAAAAAGAGTTTGTTAAAACAAGATTAAACTGTAATACTGTACAATGCACTCAATTGGTCTATGTCCTGAGAAATGTACTGTACAGTATTGGACTTCTCTGTTTTCTGTGTTTTTTTTTTCAGAGCTGGGCCAAAGAGCTTCCAAAGCAGAAGAAATTAATTGCAGTTCTCTCACATGTATTGTACTACAAAATTTTGCAATTTAAATTTGCATTTCTTGACTAAATGAGTATAATGATGGAAAGTTACCTTCTTTTTGTGTCCCTTCTTATGCATTCCTTTGGATCCCTTGGAATGTTTGCTGTGCTTTTTGTGACCCTTGTGCTTTTTGCCAAATGCCTTCTTGCCTTGATGGTAGCCCTTTTTGTGCTTTCCGTGTTTGCTTTTGTGACCAGCAGAATGTTTCTTTGCGTGTTTCCCGTGTTTCTTGTGTTTGTGGCCCTTCTTGCTCCGGTGGCCGTGTTTCTTGTGGCCACCGCCCTTTTTGGAGTGGCCCCAGGCCCCCGCGTAGCCACTGTAGTGACCTGTCCATCAAATACAGTAGAAGTTTCTGTTATTTCTCTGCTAATGAAATGCTGGGTTTCTGCATTCTTAACAAAAGCAAATTCATTCCTGGATGAGTTTTATTTGCATGCACAAATTAGATATTTTACAACAAAAAAACAATATACAATCCCTTTTGAGATTTTTGTTGTTGAAATTTTAAGGATTTTACACCCTGGCTTGAAAAAAAAAGTTTTCTACTTGGTATGGGTGTATACCTCAGCAAGTGATGAACACATAAAATGCTTTCCTTATTGTGTGGCAGAGAAAATTTTCAAAAATAATGCAAAACATGAAAAATTCATGACATGATTCAATTTCCCAAGATGGAGAAAAATGGTTTTAAAAGTTTTCAAAGTCTGAATGATGTAAAGAT